GGGGTTTATTTCTAGACTCTCAATTTTATTTCATTGATCTATACATCTATCCTTATGCCATCTTGTTGTTTCTTGATTTTATAAAGACCCATCTACCTTCAGGGCATTTAAAATCATTGACTTTATGGGCTGGCAGTTTTCTCATGTTTCTTTTTGTCTGTTGCATGATCTTTTACATTATTTGTATTTCTGCTAAAATGTCACTTGAGTATTTGAAATATCATTTCTTGGCTATTCTTCCTAAAATAGTTCCATGTTCCTGATCCATCACTCTCTACTTCTACCTTTCTTGCTTTAATTTTTTCATAGCTCATCTCACTATCTGAAATTATTTCTTATTTACATGTTTAATATGTCTTCTCATCAGAATGTAAGTTCCATGACAGCAAGGATCTTTTATCTGTCTAACAAGGTACCTGGCTCTTAGTAGGAAATCCGTAAATATTTGGGGAATAAAGTCATGAATAATGATTTCTATAACAATTTCCATTTTCAAAGCTATAATGGTTTTTCCAAGCAGTTAATTGCATGCCATTGAACAACTGGCATACCTGCTAACAGCTCATGACATATTTCAAGAAGGAGTCGTTATATACCTTTGACAATGCATATTTGAAAGTATCTTTTGTCATATATGCACATAATTATAAAAATAAAAGTTGAGTGCTACCCATGTGCCAGCCATTGTCCTAGAGAGTCAATGAAGAGATAACATAATAGATATGATTAATACAGGTGATCCAAGTGTCCTACTTGCATAAAAATCCATGTGGATGTGGATACGTCTTCACTAATACTCTCTTGTAATACTCTCAGGAGTCAGGCATAGAAATGGCCTCAGAAGCTTAATATACTTGATTACAAAGTTTCTTCTTGATGCTTCAACAATTAACAACCCTCTAGTAGATCAAAACCTCACCTTGAATTTCAATCAGTACAGAATTTTTTAGGTTCTGCCTACTTCACTTCCCAAAAAGATTTTCAACAAGCAACCATATTTTGTTTTTTTAAAGTAAAAGACAAGAAAAATCAATTGTTTTATAACAAATAAGCAAATGTCCCCTTGATTATAAGTGACTCAACCTAATAAGACTTAAGCCAAAAAAAAAAAAAAATGGAGAAGGGGCATGGGTTTAACTCATACATACTTAGCTAAAACTACAGGAATGGGCAAGCTTCAGATGAGGCTTAAAGTGGGCTCATGACCTCTCTATGGGTTGGTTCCTGTCTCAAAAAAGGCTTTCTCCTCATGGTAGTTTTAAAACTAGCAGGAGAGAGCAAGATTCTCTTTCCTGGAAATCATAGGAGGCATCTCATTACTCCTTTTTGATTGGATTACCTGCCCATCTTATAAACATTCACATTTCTAGGGCATACAATGCTTTGTTTGAGACCTAGATAACATGATTCACTTAAAGTATATAGGCTGAGAATAAAGAAGTTGGTGAGTTATTCAGAGAGAAATTAAGGTTTTAGCTACCAGAATTAGGATGAGTGGATCTTGGACAGCAAAAACAAAGGTATCCATTAAAAGCTTTTACACACACTCCTAGGAAAGATAATGATAATTAGAACATATCATAGCACATCAGTTCATTACAGCACCACCAAATATTTTTCTGCAATGCAATTTCCTAATCCTGATCCTAATCCTAATTCCTCCCAACACACACACACACTCACACACACAAACACATAAATTGTTCGTATGTGCTCATGTACACACAAGAGCTACCATCTCCTTTATTCTTGCCACTAGTTTGTAGAGCATTGCAAGACCATATTACTACCTTTTAGAGATTATAGGTTATGACTTCACAGGGCCTCGCTGCTACATAACCCATTTTATTGTAGACCTCTCTAAAATAAGACCCAGTATTTTAATAGAGCAAGATTGACACAGACCAGAAGCGTGAAGTCAAGTCAGATGATGGAAGCAGACTCTCAAAGAAGCAAATACACCCTTGACTTCCAGCCCGTTATTTGTATTTTCAACCAGAAACTTCATTCCTTGATATCAGTATCTTAATAGAAAATTGAAATGCTGATTTTCATTACATAAGCTATTTATTAGCCTCTCAGTTCTGACCTTTTGCTAGAACACTGCATTTCCTCTTTGATAATTCTCGTTAGTTTCTGACTACTTCTTGGCTGTGAGCTATTCTCTCCTCTTACATTTTATGGCCCCGTTACCAGGCAGGTGGAACTCCTTATATGTGAGATGAATACGCTCTGTGACATGCTTTATGGGACGCAGCGATCACAACGCAACCTATTAGCCATACCATAGTATGCCCAAGGGCGGTCTAGCTTCAGATCAGAATTTATGGTTGTTTGTCACATTTATAAAACCACAGTGTCATCTTTATTATTTCTATTATTAAAAAATATATTGAGGCAGTTCTTCACATACTTGGCACATACGAAATTTGTTTCCCATAGATTTTTAGTGCCTTCCAGATTGACAATAATATAAAATAGATATAGTCAGTGCCTTGAAAGAGAACTACTAAAAACTACTCTCAGCAATTTAATTTGTAAATAAAATCTGTTGCATACATTTCCTTTCAGGTTTTAGAGTGGCCTGGGGAAAACTGGCAGTGTATATACTTTCCACATATTTCATTTGCAATATAAAATTTTCACACGAGAAAGATATAACCCAAATTTCAAATAATTTAATTGGAAACGTGTAGGGGAAGCACAAAGGTAAAATGTTTAAACCATATTAGTTCATTCCTTACTATTTTCTAATTAACCAATGATAACAAAAAAGGATACAAAGTAAACTGGTATATTGAATAAAACTAAAATATTCCTTTGAGCTATATCAAGCTATTTTATATTCATATCAACAGATGGTGAGCCATGTAAGTACAAAACTATTATAAACTGTTGTTGCTATTACCCTATGATAACTAGTTTTAACAAACCTAGCTCAATTAGAGGAAAAGTTATAATTAAACATATCTTTAAAATAAAAATATGGGAAAGTACTTATGGTAATTGCAGTTACCCATAATTTAGAAACTATTCATTAAAGACTCTACCATAAAAATCCCATTAGTGGATAGTATTTTGCCCTTGTGTTGCAAGTGAACTATGTAATAGTTAAACATTACATTTATTATTAAGAAATATGATAGTAAATTAACAATAGTCTCATTAAGTGGCCAAACCTAATTAATCCAGTTCCCAGGGACTCTTAATATATGCTAATTAAGCCAGGAACAGTACTCAAATTTGCCTTGAACTATCTAAGAGGTAGGGATTAAAGGTATCTTGAAAATAAAAATATAGAGAGCATCTAGGCATTTACATTTGTCCACAAGGAAATTAATAGTCTAACTAAGCAAGATTGCTGGGGAAGACATTACACTACCTAAGAAAGCAAACATTTACAATCACCTTTAAGAACTTTCTCAGTATATGTTTATATAAATACAAAATATATGTGAATGTATTTCTTTAGATTTTATTTTCTTAACTCCTTATTAATCTTTGGCTTGCTAATCTCTGGTAAGACTTTGTTCACCTAGTTCCAGTATTTGTTCTGTACTTAAAAGTTATAAAATCTTTCTTCCTTCCTTCCTTCCTTCCTTCCTTCCTTCCTTCCTTCTTTCTTTTCTTTTCCCTTCTTTTATTTTTTCTTTCTTTTTTTCTTTCTTTCTTTCTGTAACCAAAATGTATGCACCCACTAGGGTCCCAAGTCTTTCAGTCATCTCAGGTCACCCCATCCCACTTTACATGGAAAGCTAGCATTTTCATCATGGCCTTCATACATATCCCAGCTCAGGATCATCAACAATTCCTAGGTTTGGGGGCACCTGGGTGACTCAGTCAGTTGAGTCTGTCTTTGGCTCAGGTCATGATTCCAGGGCCCTGAGATAGAATTCCACATCAGGCTTCTTGCTCAGTGGGGAGACTGCTTTTCCCTCTGCCTGCCAGTACCCCCTGCTTGTGCATTCATGCACCCACACTCTCTCTCTCTCTCTTTTTCTCTGACAAATAAATAAAATCTTAGGAAAAAACAAAAAAGCATTCCTAGGTTTGTTATCATCTCTCTAGATCATTCCTGGTAATGACTTCCCTTCTGCTAAATTCTTATCTGCATTCACTCTTGTAATAGCTTCCTCTATACTACAGCCTGAGCGTGACGTGGACCTACTCCCGTGCCATCATTTCCCCGTAGGTGTTAACGCACAAGGCTCTTGTGTTTAACAGATTTTCATTGATGGTTTAAGGTTTGGGGAGATAATACAGCACAGAATACTAGAATATTAGCCCTCACAGTTCTAAATACTTAACTATTCCTTGTCAGTTTCTCCACAGTCTTGACCTCTTTCTGTTTTCAGTGTTCTCCTCTGTCTTCCAAGGCTTCTAACTGCCTCTGCAGGAGCTGGTGACAAACTCAAAAATTCTATTACTGAGTATTTCATTTTCTCACTGTTCCACCCTCACTTGAGCTCTGATCAAAAGTTCTCCCCTTTCTTAAAATAAAAACCCTGCTATTTCCAAACAACAGAATCACCTACCAAGGAGATGAATTGTGCTACTCTCCTAGCAAGCAGTAGCAACTTATTTAAACAGCCATATTTTCCCTCACTGAACATTTGCAAATGTTCTTTCACTTACTCATACGGTCTCTTCTACTTGGTCAGAATATATGTGCATTTAAAGTAGGTAACTGAAATAATGCATAATTTTATTATTGTTATAACTATAGCTTTTCATTTTTAAAAAACTGCTAATCAAAGTGCATTTCTACCCACAATAATGAGTAAGTAAATATCTGCTTGCCCAGGTAATTTCAGGTTATTTCAGTCATGATTTATTCCTATAGAAGCACTAAGTACTTTGTCTTTTGTGTACTGAGATAATTATAGACTAACCCTGGGAACTTTAAGTGAAATGTGGATCTTTTCTACTGTGATGCAGTTATTTGAAAATATTTAGTTTTCATATATATTTGATCACGTTTTTGTATCTTTTTTATATAGTTTTGTGTGAGAATAGAAAAAAATCCTGGCCTTGGATTTAGTATCAGTGGTGGAATTAGTGGACAAGGAAATCCATTTAAACCTTCTGACAAGGTAAGAAGTGACTTTCTTATTGACGGTTTTAATTAGAAAAACACTGTCTTTTACTGCAGAAAAAAAAAGGTCAGAAAAAAATGTACTGGGCTTTAATAAAATAGTTAATTATGAAGCCAATTAGATACACTTTCAGCACAGGGGAAAAAATTCACTGCAGTGCTTGACAAATCCTAAGAATAGGGGGAAAAAATCAGCATTCTCTTTCAAAGGAAAGTTGTTTGTTTTTGTTTTTTTGCTTTTTGTTTTGCTCATAATTGTATATTTTTTAAAGAAAACTATATATGCAATTTATAACAAGTTGTTTCCAAAAGTTTCCTTGTAGATCAGTTATCTGGGAAAATGTTTTCTCATGGTAACAGAATGATTAAATAATGCTTTATTGCCAGGGCCAGCTGACTGAAATCTCTTTAAGTAATTATGTTAATAAAATATTTCACTAATAGAAGTATAGAACTGAAAGACCACAGAAAACAAACATTCTATGGGAAAATCAAAGTTAGCCATGGCAGAAAATTAAAGGCATCCTCTCATGCTTACCTATCTCTCAAACCATGGGTAAAAGGTCACCACCACCTCCATGCTGAACACCCAACGTGTGCCCATACTGACATCTGGCCTGTCTGATCCCACTGTGGACCTGGACTACCTGACTTTTTTATTTAAAATAATTTACCCCGAGTTATATAACCTACCCTGCTACCATCAGTGTTTAATGCTCTCAGCTTTGAATCAATTAGTAATTATAATTTGATAATAATTGAAACTATATACTTTTGACCTCATCAAATGTATTTCATTAAGTGACATCACAAAACTTTGGGATAATGAAAAAAGACAGAAATTAGATATAAGTAAAACCTCCACAGGTTCTCGATTTACTTTTGAGTTACAACCTGGGACAGATTCTTTCAACTTACCACTATTATAAAAAATAACCCACACATCAGTTTCTGATCATGAAACCTCATTCTGAAAACACTTGGGTGTCCCTACTCTGGAGATTTCTATAACCTGAAACAGAGCCTTTAATCCCTTATTTTCCTCTACTTCTTCCCAATATTCTTGTTTTCTCACATTCTTTATGCCCTTTCCTTTCTGGAAAAGAAGAAGAGCGGTCTAGAAGGTAGAATTTTTCACACCATACACATTTAGAGGGTAGGGACTAGAAAGAAATCCCCAGTGGCTATAGATGGTCAGCTGGTTGGTTGGAGCAGCTATTCTACAAAGAAATGTGCATGAGACAGCCTTATATAATTAGGGGAATGCCAGTTAGCAATGTCTATCATAAGTGACTAGTGCCTTTCTATTTTGAAATGATGTTGAAGATAACCATTGATATAGTAGAATTAAAATATTCATGGTTTTGTAGGATCAAGTGTTTATTTAATTTTAAACAAATTATCAGTATAGTTTAAGACAAAAAGTATGAAAATTCAAAATTATCAGAAACATATGATGGTATTTTTAAAAGCCTCAAATCATTATGTTTTATCCATCTTGACCCTTCTCTTTTTCTCCGGTCTCACATTTTCTCCACCAAGTTCTTTCAATGAGAAGTTATTAATCATATCATTCTTAAGATAGTTAAAATCCAAAAGACATGTTTTCTCTCCTTTCTCACCAGCATATACAACTTTTCATTTTATTTTTGGAAGGCACAGGGTAACAAACGTTTAAGGATGAACAGATTGCTAAATAGTCAAGATGTCTGAATGCTACTGCTTTTCTGATGTTATTTTCAACTCAAGGAGAGAATAAATACAAGGTTTTAAAATTATTGCCTGTAATTCTTCCACTATAACTAATATGAACATTTTAGAACTATTAATTTAATTTCACATTTGTAACATTTTAATGACTCTAGTGAGACTGAACTGTTTCTATGATATTATAATTTGCTCTTTTGGTTAAATGCAACAGATATAAAGCTTGAATTGATAATGTGTCCACTGAAAGATTTCCCCTCAAAAGCACTTTTCTTCGCCTGATTACTCTCTAAAACACACTTCACAATCTAAAAAGTGAATCTCTATTATTGCAAAATCGATGGGAGTAATTAAAAATTGCAAATCTGCAGAAGACTCTAAAGATTGCTCTTAATTTATTGACCACTTTTCATGTAACAGCAAACATAGGGTGGATATTTAGTTAAAAGTGTACAGAGGATCTGAAGACCTTGGGTCTGACAATTATTACAAGAACTTAATTCACTCACAAGGAAAGGGATTAATCTCTTGGAAATTCAGTTGCATTTCTTTAGCCCCATGTCCCATTCATTTAGCCATTGCATAAAATTTAGAGTAGAATCCAGTAGAATCCAAACTAACCAAAAATGCCAAAAAGGAAGAAAATGAAAATGAACTTAAAAAATACTCCTCTTTCCACTGCTGAAAAAGAGACTGTTTTTTGTTTTTTGTTTTTTCATGAGTTGGCTAATTTACAGCTGAGGGTGAGGAAAACCAAACTAAACAGATTTTTAAATTGAACAGATACTACCTGAGTTAGAGTTGGATGTTTTATAAGGAGTCCTAGTCAAGCAAAAGCTCAAACTTTAATATGATACATATTCTCTTCCAATAAACATGGATTTACTATATTCTCAGAAGCACACTATATTATTTTACGTACTGCTCAGGAATGTTCGAATGTTTTATAAAATTCTAAGTATGCAAGATAACTGAATGCCTTTGAGGCATTCAGGACTTTATATATAAAGTAGCCAGTAGATTTATCCCATCCTCTTCATTATGATTGATGAGAACCACCATTTCACCAAATGCCAAGGACCATTGTGAGATAGGATCAAACTGATTACCTGCTATATCGTCAGACAGAGAAAACATGAAGTACGAAGTAGTCATCCCAAAAAAGACTGGGAGTTTGGGAATGAGGCAAAAGTGAGCTGTGTCGTTCATCTGGCAGAAGTTCCCATTTAAATTCTGGGGTAGCATGAGATTATGCATACAACACTTAAGACAGTCCAAAAGTTAACTGAGACTTTAGAGGGAAGTCAGGATTAAGCCAGACGTGGAGACTGTTTTATACTGGACTTTGAGAGCTTCTAACAGCATCTGGTCTTACAAACTTAACTACTCTCAAAGACTCGGAGGTTGTCCTAATTGAATATGGTCTTCTGGGACTAAATGGATGCAACCCAGTTAGTCCTGCAGCTCATGTCATTGACAGAACAAGGTTTAATAATTGAACAGACCTATTCACTTGCCGTGGAGTTCATTATTTTGGGTTCACTGCCAGGTGAAAACTGCTTTTACATACTTGGAAAGGGAAAATTTCAGAGAACCAGAGGAATATGGTCCTACGTTATGCTTGCTTCTGCCCTCCAGTAAAGTGGTTGGAAGCCATGATCTGGTCTATTATCATAGGAAACATTGCTGTCAGGACAGCCATATGCTAGAGAGAGATGAAAGATTTTAATCTAACATATCTGATGATAATAATAACAGTAATAAAAATAATAGCCTTTTATCGAGTGTCTATAATGTGCTGGTCACTCTATTAGGCTCTTTACATGCTTATCTGATCTTCATAACAACTTGTATTAGTTGAGTATTACTATCCCTCATTTTGCTGAGGCCCAGAGGGGTTAATTAACTTGTCCAAGGTCATTTAGGTGATCTGTGGCAGGCAAGATTTGAACACAAATTGATCTGACTCTTAAATTCTCTTCTCTTAATAAATACTCTGATGCATGCCTCTATCTGCAAATGCCACTTAGCAGAAGAGCCACATGACAAATTTATACCCTGTAGAGTTGAGACTAATATGATATTCTAATATTGAAAGTATTACAAAATCCTCTAATTAGTCATAGTCTAGATATTTGTTTCAACAAGTCCTTGGAAGTCAGCATGTATTCTCTATTGAATCTAGATAATTAGAATAGCACTGTACACAGTGGATTACTAAGCAATTACATAACTTTTGGACTAAAGTATCATTATAGTTGTGATTTTGCCAATGGAATAAACCACAAAATCTTTGCCCATTTTTAAATGTTCATGGAATAGTAATCCATGTTTACAAAATTCAAATAATTGACCAGTGTGATTTCCACCCCATGTTGTTAGAAAGAAGAGACTGGATTAAATGGATGACTGATACCATGTTATTGTAGTGACTTCACAAGTCAGCTCAAGACCCAGAAGATGAGTGGATTTTTAATGATGCATTCACATAGCTCATCTTTCAGGGACTGATAGCCCTCCTTGCCTCATTTAAGGAGAAAAGACTAAGCTCCTAAAGCTTAAAGATATAAAAGAGGGGCTCCTGGGTGGCTCAGTTGAGCTTCTGCCTTTGGCTCAGGTCATGATCCTGGATCAAGCCCCACGTTGGGTCCTCTGCTCTCTAGGGAGCCTGTTTCTCCCTCTCTCTGCCTGCCTCTCCCTCTTCTTGTGCTCTCTCTCTCTCTCTCTTTCTGTCAAAAGATGGGTACAATCTTAAAAAAAAAAAAGATATTAAAGAAAACTCATAGCCCCTTTCCCTATATGCTCTAAAAGTATAGTACTGAAAAGTCTCATGAACAATTATCTAGTCATAGTATCAAAATAAAAGCCATGTTATGGATATCCTCAAAACACTGGACATCAGGAAATATACATACTGGGGCACTGGGACTGAACAATCACCGATTCTCCACAGTTTGAACATAATAACTACATTCAGCAGATGCCATATTTCTCCTGATTTGACCAATCTGCATGTAGACACAGAAATGATAGGAGAGTAAATCCATGTTCTTAAAATATTTTAAGTGTCTTTGCCTACAGTACAGGTAAAATCCCAAGCACAGGAAAAATACTAGAGTCATGGCAAATGTAAAATATAACTGCCAATAAACCCTAAATAAATGCCCTGGAATTTAGAATACCTTACTCTATTTTATCCTATTTTTATGACTTCTAAAAGATTGACTCCAGATGCCAGAACAGCCTGCGGACAGGACTTAAACATCTTTACACCCTTCCTTCCTCACCTAG